CCTCTGTCTCCCATCTTTTACTGTGATAACATCTCCCTCTGTCTCCCATCTTTTAATTGTGATACCATTTCCCTCTGTCTCCCATCTTTTACTGTGATAACATCTCCCACTGTCTCCCATCTTTTACTGTGATAACATCTCCCACTGTCTCCCATCTTTTACTGTGATAACATCTCCCAATGTCTCCCATCTTTTACTGTGATAACTCCCAATGTCTCCCATCTTTTACTGTGATAAAATCTCACACTGTTTCCCATCTTTTACTGTGATAACATCTCCCTCTGTCTCCCATCTTTTACTGTGATAACATCTCCCTCTGTCTCCCATCTTTTACTGTGATAACATCTCCCTCTGTCTCCCATCTTTTACTGTGATAACATCTCCCTCTTTCTCCCATCTTTTACTGTGATAACATCTCCCTCTGTCTCCCATCTTTTACTGTGATAACATTTACCCCTATCTCCCATCTTTTACTGTGATAACATCTCCCTCTATCTCCCATCTTTTACTGTGATAACATTTACCTCTATCTCCCATCTTTTACTGTGATAACATCTCCCTCTGTCTCCTACCCTTGCAGGCAACACACCAAAACAAACAATCAACTTCACAACAGGCCGAAAGCATAATTTCTCTGATTCATTACTTTTTTTTTTACTTCTTTCTCTGTATCTTTCATTCTTTTTTTTTTCTTTCTCCTTTTAATTTTTCTCTTCTTTCCGATATTTTCTTTCTGTTTTCTTTCTGTTTATTTCTTTACGTTCATTAATTGTTAAATCCAAGCAGGCGTTTGCTCTTCTCTTTCTTTTTCTTCTCACTTTCTTTACATTATTCTCTCCTTGTGTCACGTGACACCTACTATGCAGACTATTCTTGATAGTGTCCACCTCCACCTCGGTCCCTAAACAGCTGCCAGTTTCCGTTACTATGAGATGACCCCTTTTCCCGACACTGAGACCCGGAGATCCAGTTAATCTTGCAATAATCTTCATCCATGGGTCCCTGCCAACATATATGGTGACCTCTTACTAGAGAGACAAAGGGATCCCCCCTCCCCCCCCCCCCATCTTTCGTTTCCAACTTAACTCTTTAAATTACCCCTTCCTGTGACGTATGAACTCAGTGGTTCCCAGGTTTTGTTAGCAAAATATCCGTAGTTCTAAACTCTTCCTATAGCAACGTGATGCAAGGACGCCAGCGGTTCAAAGAGTCTGCTTGCTAACCCCATAAGTCACATTGTCAAATATAAATATCAGTGGTTCAAAAATTAGGCTTTCCTAAAACGTTATGTCCCACTATGATAGTTAACATAAGCGGAGCCCAGATTGTGCTAGAATACCTTACAAGCCATTGTGACGTATCGAGGTCAGTGGTTCCCGAATAGTGTAGTGGCTGCAAGTACTTAAATTTCCGAATTTATCAAGTTACCCCTAATAATTTGTTAGGCAACTCCAGAGGTGTCTTGACCCACCCACTTCCCTAAACGATATCATAATCAGACATAAAGCGTTGTGGCGCTATGTGTGTTAGTATGTGTGTTAGTATGTGTGTTAGTATGTGTGTTAGTATGTGTGTTAGTATGTGTGTTAGTATGTGTGTTAGTATGTGTGTTAGAATGTGTGTTAGTATGTGCGTTAGTATGTGCGTTAGTATGTGCGTTAGTATGTGTGTTAGTATGTGTGTTAGTATGTGTGTTAGTATGTCTGTTAGTATGTGTGTTAGTATGTGCGTTAGTATGTGCGTTAGTATGTGCGTTAGTATGTGCGTTAGTATGTGCGTTAGTATGTGCGTTAGTATGTGTGTTAGTATGTGTGTTAGTATGTGTGTTAGTATGTGTTTTAGTATGTGTTTTAGTATGTGTGTTAGTATGTGTGCTAGTATGTGCGTTAGTATGTGTGTTAGTATGTGTGTTAGTATGTGTGTTAGTATGTGTGTTAGTATGTGTGTTAGTATGTGTTTTAGTCATGTGTGTTAGTATGTGCGTTGGTATGTGTGTTGGTATGTGCGTTGGTATGTGCGTTAGTATGTGCTTTAGTATGTGCGTTAGTATGTGCGTTAGTATGTGCGTTGGTATGTGCGTTGGTATGTGCGTTGGTATGTTCGTTGGTATGTGCGTTGGTATGTGCGTTGGTATTTGCGTTAGTATGTGTGTTGGTATGTGCGTTAGTATATGCGTTAGTATGTGCGTTAGTGTGTGCGTTAGTATGTGCGTTAGTATGTGCGTTAGTATGTGCGTTAGTATGTGCGTTAGTATGTGCGTTAGTATGTGTGTTAGTATGTGCGTTAGTATGTGCGTTAGTATGTGTGTTAGTATGTGCGTTAGTATGTGCGTTAGTATGTGTGTTAGTATGTGCGTTAGTATGTGTGTTAGTATGTGCGTTAGTATGTGCGTTAGTATGTGTGTTAGTATGTGCGTTAGTATGTGCGTTAGTATGTGCGTTAGTATGTGCGTTAGTATGTGCGTTAGTATGTGTGTTAGTATGTGCGTTAGTATGTGCGTTAGTATGTGCGTTAGTATGTGTGTTAGTATGTGCGTTAGTATGTGCGTTAGTATGTGTGTTAGTATGTGCGTTAGTATGTGTGTTAGTATTGCTGGTCGCTTGCGGGTAGTGTCCATTTTTTCCGATACAAAACTACACCTTAGTTGCAATCTTTATATCAACCATTCACGGCGTTAGCAGGGCAGCCTCTCTCTTGTTGAGCCAGTTGTTGCACTCATCACGGTGTTAGCAGGGCAGCCTCTCTCTTGTTGAGCCAGTTGTTGCACTCATCACGGCGTTAGCAGGGCAGCCTCTCTCTTGTTGAGCCAGTTGTTGCACTCATCACGGCGTTAGCAGGGCAGCCTCTCTCTTGTTGAGCCAGTTGTTGCACTAATCACGGCGTTAGCAGGGCAGCCTCTCTCTTGTTGAGCCAGTTGTTGCACTAATCACGGCGTTAGCAGGGCAGCCTCTCTCTTGTTGAGCCAGTTGTTGCACTAATCACGGCGTTAGCAGGGCAGCCTCTCTCTTGTTGAGCCAGTTGTTGCACTAATCAAATGAGTGTTAAATCACGTCACTATTCTTAAATTCTATGACAGAACTTAGAATTATTCCTCACATTAACACACACACCACACAGACACACACACACCACACAGACACACACACACAAACTTTGTCTCCCCGGTGAAATGAGCCAGCCAGGATGTGGAATACAATATTATTGATAGATACCAAGCGGCTTGGTGTCAGAAACAAAACTATGAGTCTCGCTAAGACAAGGAATTACACAAAATCCGTAGCAAGTACCGTACATTACTTTTTTCAGAGTTTTGCAGCAGAACTCTTATAGAAAGACACCCGGTTAGTTGTTTTTCGCCCGGGTCCGGGTATATGCCGGGTGTGTGAATACTCGGTATTTATGGGTATCCGGGTTTTGATTCGGGTCAGCGACATTGATTATCTTGGAAAAGGTCAAAAGGTCAACACATTTTTCTTTTTTCCACCCTGAGTCCCCCCCACCAATGTTCCCTCTAAGGTTTGCTGGTTCGTGTGCAAAATCATACAGTTGTGTGCAAACTTTTACAGCATCAATTTTTTTGTGTGCAAAATTTTACAGCCCGAAAACACAAAGACACACTTACATAGCAATTTGCTGCGCGGATACTCAAAACTGTGGCCGCGCAACTTAAAGGGAACATTGGTCCCCACATACTCGTATTTTGTGGTAGCCAAAATTATTGAAATTTGGGTGTTATGGTAGCCTAAATTATTTAATTTTGGGTGTTATGGTAGCCTAAATTATTTAAATTTGGGTGTTATGGTAGTCAGAATTATTCAAATTTGGGTGTTATGGTAGCCTAAATTATTTAATTTTGGATGTTATGGTAGCCTAAATTATTTAATTTTGGATGTTATGGTAGCCTAAATTATTTAATTTTGGGTGTTGCGGTAGCGTAAATTGGCGCATTTTAAAAATCTTTAAAAATCATTGTCTTATCCTCAATAAACGATCACAAAATCTGTTATCAAAAGACACCCTCGTAATTTTTTAATTCTGTCCATCATTCAATCTTTCCATCATTCAATCTGTCCTTCATTCAATCTTTCCATCATTCAATATGTCTATCATTCAATCTGTCCATCATTTAATGTGAATCATTTATTCTGTCAATCATTCAAACTGTCCATCATTTAATGTGAATAATATATTCTGTCAATCATTCAAACTGTCCATCATTCATTCTGTCCATCATTCAATCTGTCAATCATTCAGTGTGACCATCATTCATTATGTCCATCATTCAATATGCCAATCATTTTATTCCTGAAACCAAAGGATCGTGACCTAACTGATGTTATATCAAAAGTATACTTTATTGAAAATATATAAATATTGCATTGTGATTATATCACACATTTAAGAAATAAAATGCCGACGCCATATTCTGATCTTAATTTGTGCTCAAGCCTTGACCAAGGTGAAGGTCATTGTTTTGCCACATGCAGTCATTTCCTAGAAAGGAAAGAAAATAATAAGAAAATAAGAGCAAATGTCTGCCTTGGAGACCCACCACACAATGTTCAACACATTTCTGCGCACTTAATGTTCTGTGCTATAAATCGAATGGTCCTACCGCAGTCCTCCTTCAAAGGAATGGGTGAACTTAAAGACTACCGTACTTACTGTGACAAACGTATCGCTCTTTGTCATTTAAATTATTCTAGCTCGTGAGTTGCGTTTATTTGAAATTTCTAGGCCAGCGGTTCTCGAGTAATGTGTCACATAAAAAAAAATGTACGTTTTTTTAAAAAAAATAATATTTTCTAAAATATAAGATTATGACTCACAAATGATATAATTATCAGCTAAGATCCATAGTTTGGGGGTGCTTACATCAAGAAATGCACAACACCGTTAGCGTACCAGTTTCTACATTGTACTTCTGGGCCCACCTGGTCAATCTCAACCTGGGTTACCGTACTTACCGTAAAAATGGCGCCGTCCTTGACGTACCGGACCACCTTCCACTCCACGCCACCGGCATTCCCGGCCTGGATCAGCTGCTCACCTTCGACGTAAGTTTTAATCTGATGAGGAGACGAGCGTATGCGTCATTTGGGGGGTGTTTTCAATACCCGGTGTTTGTAACACCTGGTGTTTTGTGTCATGTTTTCATGACAGAGGAAAGCTTTAAATTTATAAAACATTTCCCGTGTTAGAGATTATATTTGTAAACGCCCTCGTCACGAACGCTCCATTTATGAACACCCTCTTCCCACCCCCACCCCTTTTTCCAATCCTTGTGTTCAAAAAAAAAAAGAAAGAGAAGTCTTTTGAATTATAAAAAAGACATAAAACATAAAAATAACATTGCACAGCTGTTGTTCATGTTAAGTAATATATTTGCCTCCAACTGGCTGTCAAAGTTTCTCTATCACTATGGCAAGTTTTCGTTAATTTGTGTTTCTCTTAGATATGTTACGCTTCTGGCGTGACTCGTGGACTGCTACTGCTTCCATTTCTGGCTGCTTCCTATTCAACGTATATGGTTTTGAGATTATATTACAAATAATTCTAAATGGTGAAAAAAAAATATGGATCAATAATGAGTTCAATAGCGCGTAAAATATAATTCCCGATAACTACGCTAAATGATCTATTCTTTTTTTTTTTAAAAATAAGCACACGCGTTTGGTGCGTACTATTTTCTTTTCTGAAAATGAAATCGTCTCAATTTAAATATGGTGTAAAAAAAATAATTCAGTTTCAAAGTGGTTGGGACATCAGAATATTTAAAATAGTTCATGGGCGGGAAATAAAAAAGGGGAGGGGGTAACAAAAATTGAGATTCTTGAATGTGCGTTACTTGTGTTCATGTTTTGTCAAGTAACTTTAGTAGATGGGAAGTTCACGCATTGCAGCCGCCAATGTTTGGCGGGCTATATCTTGTATGCTTATAAAGGTTTATTATTATTTTTAAAAAAAATAAAAAATATTTCCTTCTGTTTTCCCTCTCGGTAAACTCGTCTATGCACATCTCTCTTCACACCACTATCACACCGCTCTGGTGTCGATATAAACAACTTATGGGATTTCCCCATTATGCTTACTTTGACGTAGCCACTCAGTGGAGCAAACTCACGGGGGTACTCTATGGCTGAGCATTGCTAGGAGAGTTTTCCTTCAGCTGCAGTCTTGTGCAGTCTGACATGCGCATTCCACCCGGAACTAGAAAACCATGCGACGTATTTTTTTTCCTCTACGGCTTAGATTTATGTGACCTACATTTGTCTTCTTTCCCTCTCCTCTCCCCTCTCTCACCTTAATCTCGATGCCTCGGGGACCTTCTGTCTCAACTGTCTCGCCCAGCACTGACGTGTCATTCCTTGGCTCCTCCCTCCTAACTCCCCTCCAAACTCACCCTCTCTCCTCCTCTCCCCTCTCACCTTAATCTCGATGTCTCCGGGACCTTCTGTCTCAACTGTCTCGCCTACCACTGACGTGTACTTCCTTGGCTGCTCCCTCCTAACTCCCCTCCACCCTCACCCTTTCTCCTCCTCTCGCCTCTCACCTTTAACTTGATGCCTCCAGGAGCATCTGTCTCCACTGTCTCGCCTAGCACTGACGTGTCCTTTCGTGGCTCTTTGCCTTCGATGTTGACAACGGACGTGAAGTTGTTGCCGTCGACGGAGATGTTGACTTCCTTGATGTTGATGATGTCGTTGATGGTATCGGCCCCGCCAACTGAACGCGATAGGTGTACACAACATTATAATATGAACATTATACTGTCTACAACTGTACTGTCTTTTGATGTACTTCTACATGGGTACTGTCTACTGACTTATTACCTAATGGTATATAAAGTTCTCATGGGATCCACTGGGGTACTTTCTAATGATGTACTTTCTACTGAGGGGTACTATGTACTAAGGTATTGTCTACTGGGCCACTACCTAATGGGTAACTATGCAATGGCTCCCTTTCCACTGTATGTAATTTCTACTTACACTTTCTACTGGGGCACTCTCTACTGGGGTACCATCTGCCATGGTATTTAATTGGGAAATCCCCTACTAACTTATTCTCTAATCAAGAGGTACTCTGTACTTTGAGTCTTATGTACTTGCGTCTTTCTCTCCTGGGCTACTGTGTATTTCGGTTACTCTATAAAGCGATCACTGCACAAACCCGTGCGTTACTCAGATAAGTTCCACTGACCCAATCAATTCTGCATCGATTAATATCGTTATCTTAACAGACCTTGATCGCAAGCAGAGAGGCTGGTGAACCCAAACAATCTACCGACCTTGAGCCACTAAAACAACTACTGACATTGAACCCCAGCAATGTACTGACCTTGAACACAAACACCGAACTTGAAACCAAGCGAACTGCTGACCTTGACCCCCCCCCCCCTAATAAAGTTTCTGACCTTGACTCCAAACAAAAGGCTAACAGTCTTGACCCTCAAACAGAGTTACTGACCTGCAGCTAGATACTCTTCGGCGCCCTCAACTTTGCCAAGCTTCCATTTCCCAACGAACGCTGCGGCCATCTTGAACGAACTATGGGACTTGTCAGTAAAAAAACAAACAACAAGAGTTAGTAAGCCGCCATCTTGTATCCATATATGTGTGCTCAAATGATCTAAGTACAATTTTGAAACATTTTCTATTTTAAAAAAAGAATCAAACTGAAATCAATTCAGGTCGGATTGGGGGGCGCGGGGGGGGGGGGGGGGGGGGAAATTTTTTTTATGACATTGCGTAAATGTTAAACTATAAATTAAAAGATGACTGTGGTAACTTCCTGTTAAAGTAACGTAACAAATATCAAAATGAATGCGTGAACCACTAATGGGAGACAATTGAGATCGTTCATATTCCTCCTGCATATTATACAGAGTGTTGGGACTTGTAAAGACTCTCCAATCGGTGTGTTTGTTTGGGTCACGTGATAACAATAGTTTTGGAGCTGCGGTATTTGAGCTGTGGGTCCTTACACCTTGGTGGGGGGGGGTCGAACAACCCTTACACAGGGTCGCCTAAGACCATCGGAAAATACATATTTATGACGTAGCAACGAAAATAATTTCATGGTGGGGGGGGGGGAGGCTAACACAACCCGATAAACTGTATTGAAAGGTCGCTGCATTGAAGGTTTAAGAACCACTGGTTTAGAGGGACTTAAGAAAGACAATCATAAGAGACTGGGTAAATTTTAAGATTTTTACCATGAAGTGAAAGAACATAATGCTAAGAAATTCTTAAAGGAATTGTGATTTAAGTTATTCGAAGTATATTATTATTTCTGTGAAACATACATTTCTTTGTATGGATACTATCTCGAACATTATTTATAACTTAATATAAAAGTGAAACGTATGTTAAATATAACGTTAAAAGAAAACAGAATTTTCGTCTGGAACGCGTGCTATCGAGACGACCCGTTACGTCAGCGTTGCAGTTTCAGAATAAAGAAAGTGTCCCCCTTTCAATGCTTTAATTCATTCTTTCATTCTTTTATGTTTCCTTCTTTTTTTATTAACATGATTTAAAGTAATAATCTTGTGTAATGTATTGAACAAAATATAATTGAATATATTAATACATTCGTTGGAGACACAATTAAAAGGCCCCTCAATGAAAAAAATAATGATGTCATCTTGCAGCACATAAATAAGTAACTATTTAGTGTCGCTATTAAGGATGATAAAGCCATGTGGATAAATTTAAATCTTTTTTTTTTTTTAAAATTAAGAAAGCATCTCTTCATAGAGTTTAGGGTGATTTGATCAATATTTTCAACATTAAATTTTCAATCGTATTTAGTGCGGTGGGGGAAGTAGGGGGGGGGGTGAGATTTTTTCATGGGAATTTTATGTAATACTTTTTTAAATTAGCAAACAATAAATGTGAACTTTTCCCCATAAAGTAACTTAAGCATGATTTTAACAGAAAACAGAAATTTCACCTGGAACTAGAGACGACCGAATTTCGGCTTCAGTTTCGGCGCCAAAGTGACAATTTTATCACTTTCGGCAAAGTTTCGGTTTCGGACGAAACTGAAAAGTTAACTTTCGGCTTAATTTCGGTTTCGGCCAAAAGAGAAAAGTTAACTTTCGGTTTCTTTTCGGTTTTGGCCGAAATTGACTTAGACTTTCGGGCATGCGGCCGAAAGTGACTGAGGTTTTCTACCAGAAATCAGACTGTCTGTCTGTCTCTAGGCCGACAATCTGATATTCATTAGTGATCGACGTCTTACTGTCATTGTATGTCATATATGACTAATACTCAACGAAAGCGATATTTAACAACAAACTAAGCGACCTTTAAGAACAAACTAAACGATCTTTAAGAACAAAATAAAGCGATCTTAAAGAACAAACTAAACGATCTTGAAGAACAAACTAGACTTTTTTTTTAGAATGAACTAAATGATCTTTAAGAACAAAACAAATGATCTTTAATAGTAAACTAAAATATTTAAAAGAATAAACTAAGCGATCTTTAACAGAAAACTAAATGTTCTTTAGGAACAAACTAAAAGTTTTTTAACAACAAAGTAAATGATCCTAAAGAAAAATCTATTGTTCCTTTAGAACGAACTAATCGTTCTTTATGAAAAAACTAAGCGATCTTCAACAACAAAATAAGCGATCTTTAAGAACAAACTACAAGATCTTTTTATAACTAACTAAAAGATCTATAAAAACAAACTACTAAGAACAAAGAACAACTAAGGGATATTTAAGAAAAAAATCAATCATCTCTAAGAACAAACTAAGCAATCTTTATGAACCAACTAAACTATCTTTAAGAACAAACTAAACGATCTTTTAATCACAAACTAACATATATCTTAAACAAAAACTAAGCGATCTTTAAGAACAAACTAAACGATTTTTAACAACAAACTAAGCGATCTTTAAGAACAAATAAAGCGATCATTAACAAAAGACTGAACGATCTTTAACAACAAACTTAGCGATCTCTAAGAATAACTAAATGATCTATAACAATAAACTAAGCGACCTTTAAGAACAAATTAAACGATCTTTAAGATTAAACTAAGCGATCTTTAAGAACAAACTAAGCGATCTTTATGAACAAACTCACTGATGTATGCAGAATGCATGCGGGAACATAATACGAAACATCTAAATATTTCGGTTTCGGCCGAAATCATACAATCACCTCGGTCGGTCTCTACCTGGAACTCACGCCGATGAGACAACCGTTGGTACAGCGTTGGATTTTTAGAATCCTTAAAGCGTCCCCATTACAATGCTTTCAAATAATTGTTTCCCTTCTTTTTCGTTTAGATTTCAAATAATTTATAGTAATAATAATAATAATAAAGTTCATTTAAAAAAAAACACGCTTCATCCCCAAAGGCTCGAAGCGCGGTACAAAGTCAACAAAAAACAATCTATAATTCACCACATTTAAAACAAACACAACACTACAAAAACTAATTACAAGCATACAATATCAAAGTCTTTCTGGCCATTTCAACACTAAGCAACACAGCAACACATGGAAAATAAGGTAGACAATCATCCCAGAAGGTATTTGCGAAATAGATGTGTCTTTAGATCTGTTTTAAAGGACTCCAGTGTCTGGTTGTTTCTAAGATCGACAGGAAGGGCGTTCCAAATTGTTGGACCAGCAAATGCGAAAGTGCGCTTTCCATAAGTCTCAAGGCAAACACGTGGTGTCGAGAGTTTGCCACTATCGGATGAGCGGAGCTCTCTACTGGGTACATAAGGCGTCAGCAGCTCTTTCAGGTAGGACGGCGCCAGGTCATGTAAGCAGCGGTAGCACAAAGTTGCGATTTTGTACTCTATGCGAGCACGCACCGGCAGCCAATGCAACTCTCTCAGAAGTGTTTTTGCATGGTCGAATTTGCGTTTGCGGAGAACTATGCGAGCCGCATTATTCTGTGCTATTTGAATTTTATCCAGGAGCGTAGCTGGAAGACCCACCATGAGAGCATTGCAATAGTCCATGCGTGATAGCACAAATGCAGACATCAGCCTCTTTGTTGTATCAATTGTTAGGAAGGGCCTGATTTGACTAATCCTGCGCAGCTCCAGAAAAATCGCCCTGCATAGCATGTTAATATGACTTTCAAAAGTTAGTCTTCTATCTAGTAATAAGCTCGTGAATTACATTAAATAGACATATAATCGAATACTTAATGCATTCATAAGGGGCTAGAAACGTAAATGACTTTCAATATTTAAAGAAAAGAAAGAAAAAAAAAAAAGAATTTGTGGCGTGTAGCAGGAGCACAACAAACATTAAAAAAAAAAAAATTAGTTCTTAAATGTCCATATTATGTTATGTATCAATGCTGACAAGCATTGTGTAGTCACGTGATTAAAAAAAAGGCCAAGCATTCCTTTAAAACAAATATTTTTTTTAAAAACTGTGTCTTACCTTCCTCTTTAACCTCTTAGTCCAGCGACGACGCCTCTCTGTGCTTGGCTCAGAAATATGTGGGTACGTGCTGGGTAGTTTTACGATAGATATGGCTGAGGTGGTGTCACAGGGAGTGATGTCATCAAGGACAAGGCTTCACCCACCCAACACCCACACGGGCCCCATGGCACCCGTCGCACTCCGGCCCCACAATAGCCCCCCGCCCCCTTACGAAAAACCACGTTGATAAATATAAGTACCAAAATAGAAATAGTTTTTTTTAAATCTCTTGTTACTGCCGGTTAGTGGAACCATCGGTTAAACTGGTGACACGCTTATTTGAGCTTGTCCGGTTTTTTTTTTTCTCGTTTCGTATTTAGTCCGGGAGGGAGATAGGTAAATGGGGTCTGCCTGGGAGTGGGAGTACCATGACTCGTGTCCCCTGACTTGAATGGGGTATCCTGTCTCCGCGCCCCCGACTTGAAGAGGGTATCCTGTCTCCGTGACTCTGACTTGAAGGGGGTATCCTGTCTCCGTGCCCCTGACTTGAAGGGGGTATCCTGTCCCCGTGCCCCTGACTTGAAGAGGGTATCCTGTCCCCGTGCCTCTGACTTGAAGGGGGTATCCTGTCCCCGTTCCCCATACTTGAAGGGGATATCCTGTCCCCGTGCCCCCTGACTTGAAGAGGGTCCACCTACTAACTCGTTTCATCTTTTAGTTATTTCAAGATAGATCAAGAAAACACATTTAAATAGAATTAATTGATTTCATTCCTTGGTGGGTTTTTTTTGCTGCTGATTTTCCGGGGCGGAAAGGGGATTAAATAGAATATATTCCTTAATGGACATCAATAACTTTCTGAAACGTTTCAACTTGCTTTTTCTTTGGGTTGGGGTGATACAATGATCAAATAGCGACACGTGACAGACTTTGACAACATCTCCTTTTCTCTGTCACAGTGGCATCCGTAAAATCGCAAGGTTCTTTCAACCATATAACTGCAACGGTCTCTCAGTCATATAGCTGCAAGGTTGTCTCACCCATATAACTGCAAGGCTGACTCACCCATATAGCGGCAAGGCTGTCTCACCCATATAACTGTTAGGTTGTCTCACCAATATAACTGTTAGGTTGTCTCACCCATATAACTGTTAGGTTGTCTCACCCATATAACTGTTAGGTTGTCTCACCCATATAACTATTAGGTTGTCTCACCCATATAACTGTTAGGTTGTCTCACCCATATAACTGTTAGGTTGTCTCACCCATATAACTGTTAGGTTGTCTCACCCATATAACTGTTAGGTTGTCTCACCCATATAACTGTTAGGTTGTCTCACCCATATAACTGTTAGGTTGTCTCACCCATATAACTGCTAGGTTGTCTCACCCATATAGCTGCAAGGTTGTCTCACCCATATAGCTGCAAGGTTGTCTCCGCCATATAGCTGCAAGGTTGTCTCACCCATATATCTGCAAGGTTGTCTCAGCCATATAGCTGCAAGGTTGTCTCACCCATATAACTGCAAGATTGTCTCACCATGTAACTGCAAGATTGTCTCACCCATATAACTGCAAGGTTGTCTCACCATATAACTGCAAGATTGTCTCACCCATATAGCTGCAAGGTTGTCTCCGCCATATAACTGCAAGATGTCCTATTTGAGAATATACGTCTGGCTAATACAGTTTGCCTTTCTTTTCTTTCATTTTTTTGAAGATGAAACATTTTAGGAGTTGTTTGTAAACAATATTAGTTATCAGAATTTATTAACATAGACCATTGAACATTGAAAAATGTGCCGTCCTGATGAGATAAGAAAAAGGGAAGAAAGTCCTCTTGGTTCACGAGTTGTAAAAAGTTTAAATTTTTCACCCCCAAGTATAATCAGATGCAAATTATTATTATTTTTTTTTTTACATGCATTATTTTGGATATCGGCTTCACAAATTTATGTATTACAGGTCTGTGTGCCACACAGAACGACGTAATGAACAACTAATACCATGACGTGAGAACCCCTGGTCTTTTTTAAAATATCCACAAACACGATTTGTAATCCAGAGTTCGGACTTTGGTCTCCTCTGACACGTAAGTGTAACTTTAAATGGAACTTCTGGCTCTAGATTTTCGATCATTGGGTGCTAAGAGTGGTCGTTATTACCTGCCAATGGATACATCAGTGATTCTCAAATTTCAGTGTCATTGCGTATATATTAAAATTTATATATTAATTTGAGACAAATATAAATGTAAAAATGTGACACGTATTTTGTGTGTGTGTGTGTTTGAGTGAAGATAGAGTCCTTGAATTTGCCTGTCCTAATTAACATAAAATGCAGTACGTACACACGTGATATCTCCCTCTGTCCCCAATGTTCTCCGTCTACCATCTTACAATGTGATATCTCCCTCCATCTGCCATCTTACAATGTGGCATTTCTCTCCATCTCCCATCTTACAATGTTATATATCTTTCCGTCTTCTATCTTACTATGTGATATCTCCCTCTGTCAACCATCTTTTAATGTGGTAATATCTCCCCCTCTCTTACTCCTTTCAATGTGATAACATCTCCCTCTGTCTCCCACGTTCCAGTTTGATAACATCTCCCCCTGTCTCCCACGTTTCAATGTGATAACATCTCCCTCTGTCTCCCACGTTTAGATGTGATAACATATCCCTGTGTCTCCCACGTTCCAATTTGATAACATCTCATTCTGTCTCCCACGTTTCAATGTGTTAGCATCTCCCTCTGTCTGCCACGTTTCAATGTGATAACATCTCCCTCTGTCTCCCACGTTCCAATGTGATAACATCTCCCTCTGTCTCCCTCCTTTCAATTTGATAACATCTCCCTCTTCTCCCACATTCCAATTTGATAACATCTCCCTCTGTCTCCCACCTTTCAATGTGATAACATCTCCCTCTATCTCCCACGTTCCAATGTGATAACATCTCCCTCTGTCTCCCACTTCCAATGTGATAACATCTCCCTCTGTCTCCCACGCTTCAATGTGATAACATCTCCCTCTATCCCCCACCTTTCCAGACAACACATCAAAACAAACAAATACACAAAAGGCTGTCAACCAAATTTCTTTACTTGATATTTTCTCTAATTCATTATTTATTTTCTTTCTTTCTCGGTATATTTTTTCCTTTTGTTTTCTCTTTTTCTAAATAGTTCCTTCTAATTATTACTTTCTGATAATTTCTCTTCTTGTCATTTTTTATTTCATTCAAGCATTTACATCGTTCACACCTTATTTCACGTGGCACATACCTTGCTGCCTCTTCCCTCTGGTTCATGTTCCCTGATCCCCCCAGCGCCCAACACCCCTTAGGTTCCTAAACAGCTGTCAGTTTCCGTTACTATGAGATGACCCTTGTCCCGACACTGAGACCTGGAGATCCAGTTAATCCTGTAATAATCTTCATCCATGGGTACCTGCCATATATATGTTGACCTCTTAATAGAGAGAGAGGGAGAGAGAGAGAGAGAGAGAGAGAGAGAGAGGGCGCCCTCGTGGTCCAACTAAACGTGGTAAATTACTCCAACATGTGATGCATGAAGTCAGTGGTTCCAAGGTTGTGTTAGCAAAATAGCAGTGGTTCTAAACTCTTCAAACTGCCACGTGACTTAAAGGGAGCAAGCGGTTCAAAGAGAGTGCTCGCTAACCCCATACGTCACAATGTAATACATGAATAACAGTGGTTATAAAATTGGCTTGCTAAAACTTTACTTCCCACTACGATAATTAACATCAGCGGATCCCAGATTGTGCTAGAAAACCTTACATCCCAGTGTGGTGTACCCCAAGGTTAGTGGTTCCCGAATAGTGCCTGCAAATCCTTAAATTTCTGAAATTCTCAAGTTACTCCTAAGAAATTCCCAGGCAACACCAGTAGAGTCTTCACCCACATTTTCAGAACCTCTGCCCTAACCTATAACATAATCAAACATGGAGCGGTGTTACAGTAAGTGCGTTAGTAAGTGCGTTAGTATGTGTATTAGTATGTGTGTTAGTATGTGTGTTAGTATGTGTGTTAGTATGCGTGTTAGTATGCGTGTTAGTATGTGTGTTAGTATGTGTATTAGTATATGTGTTAGTTTGTGTGTTAGTATGTGTATTAGTATGCGTGTTAGTATGCGTGTTAGTATGCGTGTTAGTATGTGTGTTAGTATGTGTGTTAGTATGTGCGTTAGTATGTGTATTAGTATGTGTTAGTATGTGTGTTAGTATGTGCGTTAGTATGCGTGTTAGTATGCGTGTTAGTATTGTGTTAGTATGTGTGTTAGTATGTGCGTTAGTATATGTGTTAGTATGTGTGTTAGTATGTGTGTTAGTATGTGCGTTAGTATGTGTGTTAGTATGCGTGTTAGTATGTGTGTTAGTATGTGTATTATTATGTGTGTTAGTATGTGTGTTAGTATGTGTGTTAGTATGTGTGTTAGTATGCGTGTTAATATGCGTGTTAGTATGTGTGTTAGTATTTGTGTTAGTATGTGTGTTAGTATGTGTGTTAGTAGGCGTGTTAGTTTGCGTGTTAGTACGTGTATTAGTATGTGTATTAGTATGTGTGTTAGTATGTACATTAGTATGTGTATTAGTATGTGTGTTAGTATGCGTGTTAATATGCGTGTTAGTATTTGTGTGAGTATGTGTTCGTATGTGTTTTAGTATGTGTGTTAGTATGTGTGTTAGTATGTGTGTTAGTATGCGTGTTAGTACGCGTGTTAGTATGCGTGTTAGTATGCGTGTTAGTATGTGTGTTAGTATGTGTGTTAGTATATGTGTTAGTATGTTTGTTAGTATGTGTGTTAGTATGTTTGTTAGTATGTGTGTTAGTATGTGTGTTAGTATGTGTGTTAGTATGTGTGTTAGTATGCGTGTTAGTATGCGTGTTAGTATGCGTGTTAGTATGTGTGTTAGTATGTGTGTTAGTATGTGTGTTAGTATGTGTGTTAGTATGTGTGTTAGTATGTGTGTTAGTATGTGTGTTAGTATGTGTGTTAGTATGTGTGTTAGTATGTGTGTTAGTATGCGTGTTAGTATGCGTGTTAGTATGCGTGTTAGTATGCGTGTTAGTATGCGTGTTAGTATGTGTGTTAGTATGTGTGTTAGTATGTGTGTTAGTATGTGTGTTAGTTTGTGTGTTAGTATGTGTGTTAGTATGTGTGTTAGTATGTGTGTTAGTATGCGTGTTAGTATGTGTGTTAGTATGTTTCTTGTCCTACTGAACTGATTTCTGAGTTTTTGGATACAGTTTTCCAGCCCATGGTTGAAAATTTACCATCGTATATTAAGGACACTAACCACATGATCAAATCTCTCGAGTCCTTGGTTTTACCTAATGAAACCCATTTACTTTTTACAATGGACGTTTCTTCACTGTACACCTCGATTCCCCACACAGATGGACTCATCGCAATTTCATTTTTTCTGAATACGAATCCTAATCCCAATTTTCCAACAAGTGCCATTGTACGTTTGACTGAATTGGTTCTACAGCTTAATTCGTTTGAATTCAATGGCGAATTTTTCGATCAGATCAGTGGTGTTGCTATGGGAACGAAAATGGGACCAAGTTATGCATGCTTATTTATGGGCCATTTGGAACATCTTTGGAGAGAACACTACCAAGGTCCTTTCCCAGAATACTACAGAAGATACATTGATGATTGTATAGGGATTACTAATATGGACATAACAGAACTAGAAAGTTTTATTTACTTCATTGGAAATTTTCATCCAACAATTAAATTCACTTCAATGATCCATAAAAGCACCATCAATTTTTTGGACTTACGAATTAACCTTCATGAGAACAAAATATCTACGTCCATTTTTTATAAACAAACAGACAGTCATAGCTTCTTGCTATATTCATCATCCCACCCTCAATGGTGTAAAAACTCCATCCCATTTTCTCAGTTGCTGAGACTCAGAAGACTATGTAGTAATGAAGAAGATTTTGGAGAAAGAATGTCTGAAATGTTGGATTTTTTCCGACGCAGATTATACCCCGAAGAAATTTTAAAAGCAGCTGTCACTCGAGTTAAAGGTATGACTAGACAGGCTTCTTTTAAAGCTACTCATTCTGACACTAGCGATAGGTCTAAATTTATCTTAACTTTTCATCCCCACAACCTAAAAGCTCGCTCTCTGGTTCTTAAAAACCGCTCCATTCTTATGGCGGACCCTGTCACAAATGCGATTTTTAGAAAACCTCCTCTTTTCGCTTTCCGGCGGGACAAGAGCCTTAGGGACATGCTAGTTAGAAGCCACCTCCCTGCTATTAAAGCATATAAAGGCACAAAATGTTGCAACCGTAGCCGTTGCAACTCATGTCCCTATGTGATCGAAACTGATACGATCACTTTCCCTCTGGGAGTATTCAGAATAAAAGATGGCTTTACCTGCACAAGTCGCAACGTGATTTACACCATCATTTGCAAAAAGTGCGGTAAACTATACATAGGAGAGACAGGTCGTCGCCTTGGGGACCGTTTCAGAGAGCACCTCTATAACATAAATAAACACGCTCTCTGTCCGGTCTCCAAACATTTCAATAGCCCTAACCATAATGGTATCTCAGATATTGTAGTTACTGGTATACTCTATACTAGTAACACTGCAGATAGAATCTATATGGAGAACAAATTAATAACTAGATTTGGTACGTTGTCTCCATATGGATTGAACCAAATCCATAGTTTTACTTAGCTGCCATGTCTTTTTCCTGTTTGGTTTTTCCAATTATGTTTGAATCACTTCCTTTCTACATCTCTTTACTTTGTTTTTGTCAGGTTTAAGCGCCCTCTCCTATATTTTTTCTGTTTTAGGTAGGATATATATATTGACATTATGTAAATTTAATTTATACTTATTTAAATGTGTTGTGTTTGTTTGTACTGATGAAGGCATGTGCCGAAACGTTTAATTCTGTATAATGTACAATTATTATTAAAGCTAACTCATATTGTTCTATTGACACAATTTGTTCGTGTCTTATTAATATAATTTATAGAAAGACACCCGGTTCCTTTTTTTTTGCCGGGCCCGGGTATATGCCGGTTGTGCTAATACTCGGCATTACTGGGTATCCGGGTCTTTATCCGGGTCTACGCCGTTGATGATCTAGGAAAAGGTCAAATGGTCAAAAGGTTGACACATTTTTCTCCACCATGAGTCCCCACATCCTTGTACTTTGTGGTGGCATAAATTGTTTAGTTTTTGGGTATGTGTGGTAGCATAAATTGGTTCATTTTTGGGTTTGTGTGGTAGCATAAATTGTTTAATTTTTGGGTATGTGTGGTAGCATAAATTGTTTAGTTTTTGGGTATGTGTGGTAGCATAAATTGTTTAATTTTTGGGTATGTGTGGTAGCATAAATTGTTTAATTTTTGGGTATGTGTGGTAGCATAAATTGGTTCATTTTTGGGTATGAATGGTAGCATAAATTGTTTAATTTTTGGGTATGTGTGGTAGCATTAATTGTTTAATTTTTGGGTATGTGTGGTAGCATAAATTGTTTAATTTTTGGGTATGTGTGGTAGCACAAATTGGTTCATTTTTGGGTATGTGTGGTAGCACAAATTGGTACATTTTTTTTAGAGCTTTCGAAATCCCTGTCTTATTCTAAAGAAATGAAAAAAAAAATAATTATGTTATCAAAAGACACCTTCATAATGTTCTAATTTTTTCTTTCATTGTATTTGTCCATCATTCAATCTGTCCATCATTCAAAGTGTCGATCATTCCACCTGTCCACCATTCAATCTATCATATATCCCTCATTCAATCTGTCAATCATTCAATCTGTCAAACCAAAGCACCATGACTTAACTGATGTTATATCAAAAGTATACTTTATTGAATATAAATATATTGCATTGTGATTGTATCACACGTTTTCAATAAAAATGCTACCTCTATATTCTTGGTTTTAAGTTCAAGCTTTGACCAATGTGAAGGTCATTGTTTTGCCGCTTGCAGTCATTTCCTAGAAAGGGGAATAAGAAACAAATTTCTGCCTTTGAGATTGACCAGACAAACATCTGTGCCATAAAATCGTATTCTTATATCGCAGTCTACATTCCAAGGAATTGGTGAATATAAAAGTACCGTACTTACTATGATAAACGTATCGCTCTTTGTAAGTATGAATTATCCTAGCTTGTCAACATAAATTACGTTCATTTAAAGTTTCTAGACCAGCGAGTAGTGTGTCACATTCAAAAATGATTTTTTTTTCGATATTTCCTAAAATGTAAAATGTATCATTGGACTTGCAATAATTTAATTATCAGAAACCATCCTTCTGATGAGGGATGCTTACATCGAGAGATGCTCATCTCAGCTTGGGTTACCGTACTCACCGTAAAAATGGCGCCGTCCTTGATGTAGCGGAGCACCTTCCACTCCACGCCACCGGCCGTACCCTCCTGGATGAACTTGTCACCCTCCAAGTAAGACTTGACCTGGGGAAGATACCAACACGTGTTAAATATTTTTTAACGTCTGGTGTTTGGTGTAGTTTATTATTACCGGGGATAGCGACAAATTTATAAACTGAACTTCTCCCTCGTGAACATTTCCCTCGTGACAATTTCTCTCGTGAACATTTCCCTCGTGACAATTTCCCTTGTGAACATTTCCCTCGTGAACATTTCCCTCGTGAACATTTCCCTCGTGAACATTTCCCTCGTGAACATTTCCCTCGTGAACATTTCCCTCGTGACAATTTCCCACTTGTGAACATTTCCCTCGAGACAATTTCCCTCTTGAAAATTGCCTCGTGAACATGTTCCTCGTGAATATTTCCCTCGTGAACATTTTCCTCGTGAACATTTTCCTCGTGAAAATTTTCCTCGTGAACATTTCCCTCGTGAACATTTTCCTCGTGAACATTTCCCTCGTGAACATTTCCCTCGTGAACATTTCCCTCGTGAACATTTCCCTCGTGAACATTTCCCTCGTGAACATTTCCCTCGTGAACATTTCCCTCGTGAACATTTCCCTCGTGAACATTTCCCTCGTGAACATTTCCCTCGTGAACATTTCCCTCGTGAACATTTCCCTCGTGAACATTTTCCTCGTGAACATTTTCCTCGTGAACATTTCCCCCGTGAACATTTCCCTCGTGAACATTTCCCTGTGAACATTTCCCTCGTGAACATTTTCCTCGTGAACATTTTCCTAGTGAACATTTCCCTCGTGAACATTTTCCTCGTGAACATTTCCCTCGTGAACATTTCCCTCGTGAACATTTCCCTCGTGAACATTTCCCTCGTGAACATTTCCCTCTTGAACATTTCCCTCGTGAACATTTCCCTCGTGAACATTTTCCTCGTGAACATTTTCCTCGTGAACATTTCCCCCGTGAACATTTCCCTCGTGAACATTTCCCTGTGAACATTTCCCTCGTGACAATTTCCCTCGTAACAATTTCCCTCGTGAACATTTCCCTCGTGAACATTTCCCTCGTGAACATTTCCCTCGTGAACATTTCCCTCGTGAACATTTCCCTTGTGAACATTTTTACTCGTGACAATTTCCCTCTTGAATATATCCCTCGTGAACATTCCCCTTGTGAACATTTCCCTCGTGAACATTTCCCCCGTGACAATTTTCCTGTGAACATTTCCCTCGTGAACATTTCCCCGGTGAACATTTCCCTCGTGATCATTTCCCTCGTGAACATTTCCCTCGTGAACATTTCCCTCGTGAACATTTCCCTTGTGAACATTTCCCTCGTGAACATTTCACTCGTGAACATTTCACTCGTGAACATTTCACTCGTGAACATTTCACTCGTGAACATTTCCCTCGTGACAATTTCCCCGTGAACATTTCTCTCGTGAACATTTCCCTCGTGAACATTTCCTTCGTGAACATTTCCCTCGTGGACATTTCCCTCGTGAACATTTCCCTCGTGGACATTTCCCTCGTGAACATTTCCCTCATGAACATTTCCCTCGTGAACATTTTCCTCGTGAACATTTTCCTCGTGAAATTTTCTTCGTGAACATTTCCATCGTGAACTTTCCCTTGTGAACATACTCCTTGTAAACAACCTCTTCGCGAACGCTTTATTTATGAACACTCCCTTTGTAAACATTCGAATACCCCCACCCCACTATTCTAGATAAAAAAGGTTGACACCCCTTTTGAAACATAACCATAAGATAAAACACCGAAATGGCAATGACAGCTGTCACGTTATCGTTTTCTTTATACATTTTTCCAAGCGTCAGTTGTCACCTTGAGCCGTGACGTGACTGTTGTTGTTTGTTGTTTAGCTTTTTAATGCCGTGAAAAATTATTATGCTTTCTGTTAATGTTTTGACACTTCCCAACTTTCAGTCCCGTTTATTATATCCCTGGCCACATGCACCCGCAAGGTTTGCAGGACCCACCCCAGGGCTCTGTATACACCCAGTATCCCGCCCCACCCCACGCGACTCTAGAGATCGCAACAAGATCTATGCGCATCTCTCTTCACACTGTTGCCGCACCGCACTTGTGTCGCTATAAATAACCTATGGGATTTCCTCAGTTTCCTTCAATTTTTTTTTAAATTTTATTTTTTAGAATCTCATTTTTCTCTCCCTTCCTTGAACAAGGCCAAAATGGCCACTCAATGGAACGACCACACGCGAGAACTCTGTTGTTGAGCAATGCTGGGAGAGTTCTTCTGCAGCAGCAATCTTTTGAAGTCTGACATGCGCATTCCACCCGGAAGTAGAAAGGCATGTGAGGTGCTTTTTTTTAATGTGTATTTTAAAAATCTAAACCAATACGTCCATGGCATTGAGAGTGAATGATAGTGATGCCTTGTCATTGTCTGTGGTAGTTACGAGAATATGCAACTGTCAATAGTGATGCCTTGTCATTGTCTGTGGTAGTTACGAGAATATGCAACTGTCAATAGTGATACCTTGTCATTGTCTGTGGTAGTTACGAGAATATACAACTGTCAATGGTGATGCCTTGTCATTGTCTGTGGTAGTTACAAGAATATGCAACTGTCAATGGTGATGCCTTGTCATTGTCTCTGGTCGTTACGAGAATATGCAACTGTCAATAGTGATGCCTTGTCATCGTCTGTGGTAGTTACGAGAATATGCAACTGTCAATAGTGATGCCTTGTCATTGTCTGTGGTAGTTACGAGAATATGCAACTGTCAATAGTGATGCCTTGTCAATGTCTGTGGTAGTTACGAGAATATGCAACTGTCAATTGTGATGCCTTGTCATTGTCTGTGGTAGTTACGAGAATATGCAACTGTCAATAATGATGCCATGTCATTGTCTGTGGTAGTTACGAGAATATGCAACTGTCAATAGTGATGCCTTGTCATCGTCTGTGGTACTTACGAGAATATGCAACTGTCCATAGTGATGCCTTGTCTTTGTCTGTGGTAGTTACGAGAATATGCAACTGTCAATAGTGATGCCTTGTCATTGTCTGTGGTAGTTACGAGAATATGCAACTGTCAATAGTGATGCCTTGTCATTGTCTGTGGTAGTTACGAGAATATGCAACTGTCAATGGTGATGGCGTGTACTTGTTTGTGTGGAATCACGAAACTCTCAATACGGATGCTGCATTCTATACATCTGACATTCTGACAATTCTGATTCAATTATCTGTCAGTGCTGATGACACATACTGTTTATTGACCGAACAAAGTTCTACAAATATGTTAATTTAGACATTCTTGAATTCATGTCTGTCCGTCTGTACCATCCCGCCAGTACTGCTATCCTTCTTTGGCTCTTTTCCCTTCCTCACTCCCTTTTATCACGCACATTCCCTCTCCCCTCTCACCTTAATCTTGATGCCTCCGGGAGCATCTGTCTCCACTGTCTCGCCCAGCACTGACGTGTCCTTTCGTGGCTCCTTGCCTTCGATGTTGACAACGGACGTGAAGGTGTTGCCGTCGACGGAGATGTCGACGTCCTTGATGTTGCTGATGTCTTTGATGGCTTCGGCCTGGCCAACTGGACGCGATAGGTGTACACAACATTATTAATGTGTACTTGATACATGTATACTATGTAAGGTAATGATATCATGATTACCAACCTATATGCACAGGTATTAAATTAAATTCTCTAATGTAAGTAACACAACTTTTGATATTGAATATATACATTTTATGTTTATCAAGTGATGTATAGCCTTTAACCCGGCACCACCACCCTACAGCCTGACACCAACACCCTACAACCCTGATACCACCACCCTACAGCCCTAGCACCATCACCCTACAGCCCTGATACCACCACCCTACAGCCCTAGCACCACCACCCTACAGCCCTGATACCACCACCCTACAGCTCTGGCACCACCACCCTACAGCCCTGACACCACCACCCTACAGCCCTCATACCACCACCCTACAGCCCTGATACCACCACCCTACAGCCCTGACACCACCACCCTACAGCCCTAGCACCACCACCCTACAAGCCTAGCACCATCACCCTACAGCCCTGGCACCACCACCCTACAGCCCTGGCACCACCACCCTACAGCCCTAGCACCATCACCTTACAGCCCTGGCACCACCACCCTACAGCCCTGACACCACCACCCTACAGCCCTGATACCACCACCCTACAGCCCTGATACCACCACCCTACAGCCCGGCACAACCCACACCCATGGTAGGACTTTATGCCCCCATTGTCAAAACCCCCTCGCCCCTGGCACCATCTTACGCCCCCCTCACCCACATGACGTAGGGCACGGGGGCCAAGCATGACCTCTGGGACAAGGGAGAAAACTCAATTTCCTATTTTGTCTTGGAATGACCTCCCGTGAGCTGTGTCGAGAAGAAGACGCTCCAAATTAGCCTCAGGTTTTTTTAATGTTCAGAGTACACAGGAATGAAGTACTATCTACTGTGGTACTGCGTACCAGGGTAATGTCTACTGGCATGCCGTTTAATGGAGTACTGTCTACTGGGGTACTGTGTACTAGGGTACTGCCCACTGAGTTGCTGTTTACTAGAGTCCTGACTTTTGGGGTGCTGTGTACAAGCCTAGTGTGTACTAGGATACCTAATAATATGCTTTAGTATACTAGGAAACAGTGTACTATTGTACTGTATCATAGGATACTGTCTATTGGGGTACTGTCTACTTGTGTACTGTCTACTGGTCTACTGTCTACTGAATTACTTCTACCGGGGTACTGTCCACTAGGAAACTGCCTACTGATGTATTGGTAACTTGTGGTCGATTTTCTGGGGTGCTGCCTTCCAGGGTACTGTCTACTAGGGCACTTTCTACTTGATATATTTTCTTCTGGGGCACTCTCTACGGGAATTCCGTCTTCTATGGTACTTAGCTGGGATAATTCCTAATGACATATCCTCTAATCACGATGTCATCTGAGCTTTTAGTTACCCGGGTAAATTCATTTACGCTATTCCGAATTTATTCATACTGGTGTATAACCGAGTGCAGTTTTTACACCGGGACCGGGCATTTTGAGAACATACCCAAATGTAACCACCCCATCCCCCCCCCCCCCCAAAAAAAAAAAGTTAACGTCTCATTTGTTACACTATCTACCGCCCCATGTCGCAGTGAAATTGCATTGTCTTCGTCAACCGTTTGTGTCAAGAAATGACCCACTGATGGGAGCAGGCTGTTGCCGGATCCCGGAATAGAGATGACGTTGTGCAAGAACCCGTTGACGGAGAAGATACTGGTGTTCACTGTACAACAAAGACTTACTTACGAAACAACAGTTGCAGCATAACGGAGATAGCATTCTATTGACCGGAGTTAAGACTTTACGCATGACGCTTGCTGCGTGACATCCTTTTTTCCCCTTATGTTCTATTAATATAAAACATGTGGAGAAGGGTTGGTTTTAAATAGGAAGCAGGACACACCAGAAGCAGAATAGAAGCAGGAGATTATTATGTTAACCGACCTCGACCAAAAACAGAGATGCTGACGACCCCAAGCAATCTACTGACCTTGAGTCACAAACTGACTACTGACCGTGACCCCCACGCAGAGCTACTGATCTTGACCCCCCAAAACAAAACTATCGACCTTGACACCCCCCCCCCCTTTCCCCAAGCAGATTTACTGACCTGCAGCTAGATACTCTTCGGCGCCCTCAATTTTGCCAAGTTTCCATTTGCCAACGAAAGCTGCGGCCATCTTGAACAAACTTTGGGAATTGTCAGTCGAAGAAAACAGTTACTTGAGCCGATATCTTTAAATATATATATATTTTTATATATTATTTGTTTAAATTATGTATGTTAATTTTTTAACTATTTTATTTTCCAAAAGTAACAAGAAGAAATTAATTCATTTCTGGTCTCGGAAAAATGGGGTTTGAGGGGAGGGATGGGGTGCGCACAAAATCAGCGTTAAAATGAAATGGTATTTTTTTCCTTAATTGTAATTTTATCAAATTTGTCGAGACATCCGTTGTTGAGTGTTGGTCAGAACAGTTGATACGTTTTCTTCGACAATTTCTTTGATTTAATTCTTTCTTTCTTTCTTTCTTTTAAAATGATATAAATTTATCGTAATAGTCTTGTGTTCTATATGAAAGAAAATAGAAACTCATCAATAAGACGTTCATGAAAAGGTCTTAACGAAATAGGCAGTATTTCTTTTTAAAACGTGATCGGCATGTGGCAGAATATTTACAATGAGTTCTATAGTATTGATATTAAGTTATGTTAAATTAATGACCACATTCTGTAGACACCTCATTAAACTGCGCCTAGTGTTCTGTTAAATAATCATTTAAAAAAACAAACAATTGCTACCTTCTTTTTTAACCTCCCAGAGTCCTACGAGGACGTCCGTCTTATGCTTGACTCGGGAATGTGTGTGGCTACCTGGTCGGTAGCTTTATTATTTATAAGGTGCAGGTATTTTGACAGAGGATGAGGTCATCTATCACATGGCTTCACCGACCCAACACCTACCCCGGCCTTCCATCGACCCCTCACACACCCAGGCTCCCCCGACCCCCCCCCCCCCCCCCCCCCCCCCCCCCGTTGATAGGTACATACATGTATAAATACTCAACAACAAAAGAAAGACCCCAAACATGTTTAATTAGATTGTCGGTTGATTTGATGACACGAGTTGTCTCTCTGGGTCGTTTAGTGGAAACATCGGTTAAACGGGCGCGACGCTTATTTGGTGTTGTCGAGTTCCTTTAAAAAGGGTATTCAGTCCGGCAGGGAGAAAGGGAGGTTGGGGTCTGGCTCGGAAAAGGGGGGGGGGATATCCTGATCCGCGCAGCGCGCTAACGCAATTTGTATTTTAGTCTCTACCAACCATATAGGGAGATGAGATCTGAATAGAAGGAATTGATTGGATTCAGGCGGGTTGTCTTGGTGTTTGGCTTGGACTTTAGTGACCAGAGTTGGGGGCGGATGGGTGGGGTTAAGATATTTAAATAAAATGCATTTTATAATGGACATTAATAACTTTTTAAAAACTTGAAACTTAGTAAATACAAGTGATAATTAGCAATAAGTAATTGATTTTTAAATAATCTCCTGATCTCTATAGGACATAATCGCCCAATCTCTACTAGACATTATCTCCCAATCTCTACTAGACATAATCTCCCAATCTCTACTAGACATAATCTCCCAATCTCTGCTAGATACACTCTCCCAATCTCTACTATATTTTATACACAAATTATAAGGTACATTTTCTCATCTGCTGTCGCATTTAACCCACAAAACCACAAGGTTGTGTCACCCACATAACCACAAGGTTGTGTCACCCACATAACCACAAGGTTGTGTCACCCACATAACCACAAGGTTGTGTCACCCACATAACCACAAGGTTGTGTCACCCACATAACCACAAGGTTGTGTCACCACATAACCACAAGGTTATGTCACCCACATTACCACAAGTTTGTGTCACCCACATAACCACAAGGTTGTGTCACCCACATAACCACAAGGTTGTGTCACCCACATAACCACATGGTTGTGTCACCAACATAACCACAAGGTTGTGTCACCCACATAACCACAAGGTTGTGTCACCCACATAACCACAAGGTTGTGTCACCCACATAACCACAAGGTTGTGTCACCACATAACCACAAGGTTGTGTCACCCACATAACCACAATGTTATGTCAACCACATTACCACAAGTTTGTGTCACCCACATAACCACAAGGTTGTGTCACCCACATAACCACAAGGTTGTGTCACCCACATAACCACAATGTTGTGTCACCCACATAAACACAAGTTTTTGTCACCCACATAACCACAAGGTTGTGTCACCCACATAATCACAAGGTTGTGTCACCCACATAACCACAAGGTTATGTCACCCACATAACCACAAGGTTGTGTCACCCACATAACCACAAGGTTATGTCACCCCATATAGCCATAAATTATAATCACCCATACAAGGTTGTGTCTAAATCGATCAATTAGCTTCAAAAAATTGCTGTTCCAATAAGTCGCAAAAACAAATTCATTACGATTCATGGGTTCTCAAATGTTTAAATTGTGTACCACCTGAAAAATCAGATGGAAATTAAGATTTTTAAAAATATATTTTATTGCCCCTAGGTGGTTGTAAATTTATTTGTAACAGGTGCACCACTTGATAGAACCACTGGTCTGGTTAAATCCACTAACATCAGATGTAATCCAGAGTCCGGGCCTCGATCTCCTCCGGGAGATAAGTATAACTTTAAAATGGAACATCTGGAGTCCCGATCAAGGGGCGCTAATCATAACAAGTGGCATCGCAGAGTGGTCGTTATTACCTGCCAACAGGTACATCAGGGATTCTCAAATTTTTCATGACGCTGCGTCTACGTTCAAAAATAATATATGGGCTTGAGATACAATTTTAACATGTGATAGTTGTTCTGTGCGTTCGTGTGTTTGAGTTATGGCTCACGCCAGAGAGTAGATAGGGTCCTACGCCAGGGAGTAGATAGGTTCCTACGCCAGGGAGTAGAAAGGGTCCTGCGCCAGGGAGTAGATAGGGTCCTACGCCAGGGAGTAGAAAGGGTCCTGCGCCAGGGAGTAGATAGGGTCCTACGCCAGGGAGTAGATAGGGTCCTACGCCAGGGAGTAGAAAGGGTCCTGCGCCAGGGAGTAGATAGGGTCCTACGCCAGGGAGTAGATAGGGTCCTGCGCCAGGGAGTAGATAGGGTCCTACGCCAGGGAGTAGATAGGGTCCTACGCCAGGGAGTAGATAGGGTCCTACGCCAGGGAGTAGATAGGGTCCTACGCCAGGGAGTAGATAGGGTCCTACGCCAGGGAGTAGATAGGGTCCTACGCCAGGGAGTAGATAGGGTCCTACGCCAGGGAGTAGATAGGGTCCTACGCCAGGGAGTAGATAGGGTCCTACGCCAGGGAGTAGATAGGGTCCTACGCCAGGGAGTAGATAGGGTCCTACGCCAGGGAGTAGATAGGGTCCTACGCCAGGGAGTAGATAGGGTCCTACGCCAGGGAGTAGATAGGGTCCTACGCCAGGGAGTAGATAGGGTCCTACGCCAGGGAGTAGATAGGGTCCTACGCCAGGGAGTAGATAGGGTCCTACGCCAGGGAGTAGATAGGGTCCTACGCCAGGGAGTAGATAGGGTCCTACGCCAGGGAGTAGATAGGGTCCTACGCCAGGGAGTAGATAGGGTCCTACGCCAGGGAGTAGATAGGGTCCTACGCCAGGGAGTAGATAGGGTCCTACGCCAGGGAGTAGATAGGGTCCTACGCCAGGGAGTAGATAGGGTCCTACGCCAGGGAGTAGATAGGGTCCTACGCCAGGGAGTAGATAGGGTCCTACGCCAGGGAGTAGATAGGGTCCTACGCCAGGGAGTAGATAGGGTCCTACGCCAGGGAGTAGATAGGGTCCTACGCCAGGGAGTAGATAGGGTCCTACGCCAGGGAGTAGATAGGGTCCTACGCCAGGGAGTAGATAGGGTCCTTGTTTTTTTTTTGTTGCCTGTTCTAATTAACATAAATTACAATACATACAGAATACACATATAAAGATCAGCTGCTTAAAGTATATTTAGCAGAACGAAAATGCCGCCAAAACTTTGTGTCGCCCGTTGGCAGAACTCTTTTTTACACCCCGTTTACCAACGCCCGTGTGTCTAAGGCGTAGTAAGAGTGGGGTGGGTGGGGGCAGGGGTAGGTGTTGGGGCCGATGACCACCGAGATTTAAAAGTATAAATCTGAGATATGAAAACAAAAATCTCAAATGTATTTTTAGTCAGAACCCAGTAACCTTTTTTTTTCTTTTTTTTTTTTTCCTTCACAGCAAACCTAAGGCCCTAACGGGAATTCCAAGATAAATCACCAGTAAAACATGCACAAATATGCAACATAACATAATGTTGTTAATGTGAATTATAGGGTGTGATCCTAAAGTTGATAACATCAACTTTCTGTACAGGACAGATGTTTGTTATAGCAGAGTTTGGCAGCTTGTCAAGTCAAGCATTACTAACTAAGTGATTGGTACATTTGATTCAATAGAAATATATGTAGTACAATCCTATAACGGACTTAGTGATTGGTACATTTGATTCAATAGAAATGTATGTAGTAGAATTATATAACGAATTTAGTGATTGGTACAATTGATTCAATAGAAATGTATGTAGTAGAATCCTATAACGGACTTAGTGATTGGTACAATTGATTCAATAGAAATGTATGTAGCACAATCCTATAACGGACTTAGTGATTGGTACAATTGATTCAATAGAAATGTATGTAGCACAATCCTATAACGGACTTAGTGATTGGTACAATTGATTCAATAGAAATATATGTAGTAGAATCCTATAACGGACTTAGGGATTGTTACATTTGATTCAATAGAAATGTATGTAGTAGAATCCTATAACGGACTTAGTGATTGGTACATTTGATTCAATAGAAATGTATGTAGTAGAATCCTATAACGGACTTAGTGATTGGTACAATTGATTCAATAGAAATGTATGTAGCACAATCCTATAACGGACTTAGTGATTGGTAAATTTGATTCAATAGAAATATATGTAGTACAATCCTATAACGAGCTTAGTGATTGGTACAATTGATTCAATAGAAATGTATGTAGTAGAATCCTATAACGGACTTAGTGATTGGTACATTTGATTCAATAGAAATGTATGTAGTAGAATCCTATAACGGACTTAGTGATTGGTACATTTGATTCAATAGAAATGTATGTAGTAGAATTATATAACGAAATTAGTGATTGGTACATTGTAGTAGAATTATATAACGAAATTAGTGATTGGTACATTTGATTCAATAGAAATGTATGTAGCACAATCCTATAACGGACTTAGTGATTGGTACAATTGATTCAATAGAAATGTATGTAGTAGAATCCTATAACGGACTTAGTGATTGGTACATTTGATTCAATAGAAATGTATGTAGTAGAATCCTATAACGGACTTAGTGATTGGTACATTTGATTCAATAGAAATGTATGTAGTAGAATACTATAACGGACTTAGTGATTGGTACATTTGATTCAATAGAAATGTATGTAGTAGAATCCTATAACGGACTTAGTGATTGGTACATTTGATTCAATAGAAATGTATGTAGTAGAATCCTATAACGGACTTAGTGATTGTTACATTTGATTCAATAGAAATGTATGTAGTAGAATTATATAACGAATTTAGTGATTGGTACAATTGATTCAATAGAAATGTATGTAGTAGAATCCTATAACGGACTTAGTGATTGGTACAATTGATTCAATAGAAATGTATGTAGTAGAATCCTATAACGGACTTAGTGATTGGTACAATTGATTCAATAGAAATGTATGTAGTAGAATCCTATAACGGACTTAGTGATTGGTACATTTGATTCAATAGAAATGTATGTAGTAGAATCCTATAACGGACTTAGTGATTGGTACATTTGATTCAATAGAAATGTATGTA